GTTTTTTGCATCTGTACAATGCAAAAACGCATATTGTCGAGGGACTGTGTGTGTGTGTGTGTGTGTATGTGTGCGTCTGTTTGTGCATCTGCAGTGATCCTTCGTCTCGAGACCTACAAATGCTATGAGGCTGAAACACTGGCAACTTAATCTACACCTCTTTACGGGCTCTACCCTCAAAATGGGCGCTCACGTCCACGTGGTTCTTACGTACAGACATGCGAAAGATTTTTTGACGAGAAAACGATTTCGGAAACGGCTCAAACCGGAAAGCTGAAACTTCACGAAGATGTTCCTCGCCCACGTTCAACTCAAAGATTTTAAATTCAGCTTTCACGCACCTCTAAGTCTCACGTACATCAAATTTAAATTGGCATCGCGCTAGCTCGAGAATTAAGCTGATTAATGAGCAGTCGATAGCTGTAATTCTGCAACACTGCTTGATGCCCGCTGACATGCCCGTTAAAATGAACAGAGTTTTCGAGCTTCGCGCATCTCCTGTAGGGGACGTGAAATTTGACGTAAACGGTTTTGTAACTTCAGAATTGAAGCAACTCGAGGGCTAGCACTGTCTATGCGTGGCCGACGGCGGCGCTTGGCCAGGTGAAAGTGGAAACAACTTCCACATTCCTTCCATGTTTCACGTATGTGTCACGTACTAACACGTGAAATTTGACGTAATTTCGCAATCGAAGCAGGTAGCGCGCCCAGGTTTGCTGAGCATAACCCAGGACCGTGTTTGAACATGGAAACATAACTTAGGCTGAAACGCACCAGGCTTGCCGGTGCGATCATGCGTTTTTGCACTAAACTCGCAGACTACTAACAGTAGGAGTGACCCCTATGCTGTAGCCTAACACTTGGTTTCATATTGATGGTTTGGCTTCTTCCAGCACACAGGATAAATAGCATCGGTTAGGATAACGGTGTTGTATTACAGGGCCGCAAGGACTTCCAGGCACATGATTATCAGTTTTTCGCATGAAGCCCGGTCGCTTTTCTGGTAAATGCTCGCCTTTCGAAAAAAAAAAACCCAGACTGGAACGCACCAGGCGAGCCAGTGCGACCATGCGTTTTGCACCAAACTTGAATTAGGTTAACTGCATGAACGGTTGTTTCTTCACACCTACCTTGTGCGCTCAATACCGTAAATCATCGTAAATTTTGCATAAAAGAAAATAAACAATTTCCGTTTAGCGGTCAAGTTCTCCTAAAAACTCAGCTTCCAGCTTTTTTGTTTCCCAAATTAGCCATTTTCCCGTCAAAAAAGTTTCACGGAGCCAAACTAGAGAACCACGTATGACTGGGGGCTGAATTTGATGGGTTTGTGTTGTACTTATGCTAAAAATATTTCT